ATAGCTTCAAACCATGCTATATTACTTCCGGGACTCCTCAGTCCATTCCATTCCTTACCTATACTCCCGCTGGTTACCAAAAGGGTCAACAAATACCAATACCAGGAAATGGGCAGCAGCATGGGTGAAGGATGTTAAAAAATTATCAATAGAACACTGTCAATCCACTTGCCCACGTTCTTAAAGTGCACATATAGTTATATCAACTTTACAGCTGGTAAGAGGTTGTTAAAGTGCAATAGGCATATCACTTGATTCTAAAGTGCCTACATAAAGTGCGTCATGGAGGAAAATTAAAGTGCTGAGGTAAGGCAGGTTAGAAGGACCACTTCAGTGCAAAATGAGCTAAAGTGCTAGCAACTAAAGTGCTGGAACTAGAAATTAGCAGCACCATTCAAAATGTTGGTAAAAATTATTATAGCATATAAATTATAAAGTGATTGGTAAATTAAAGAGCAGGAACTAGAAATTAGCAGCACCGTTCAATTTGTTGTTAAAATTATTATAGCATATAATTATAATACAATGACCACAGATTTAAAACTAGTCCTTCCGGAGATGGAAGCAGTGGACGCGATGGTAGGCGTCACACGGATGGCGGTGGTTTAGCACACGTTCAATACAAGATGGTAACGCCACAAGGGCAGGGAAATGGTCGGTCAACACAATTAGTCCGCACAGCACAAAAATCGGTCAACACAGTCAGTCCGCACAACGAATTGAGCAGCACAGTCAGTCGACATAGAAATTGACAATGCAGCTGGTCATAGGCGTCAGGCAACGCAGGCGTCAGGTCGAATACTCAATACAGGAGGCCACAGATGGAGATGCAGGCCGGTCGCCAACCCCCAGGCCAATTGAAGGGCCCCAGGCCGGCAAAGGCTGGCACGATGGAGAGCCAGCCTTCCCTGAGCCAGGGGGTACCGATGGACCACGAGGGACGCCGAAACACCGGAGTAACAACAACGTGGCGCCAACCGGAAACCAGGCCGAAGAGCAATCGCACGCCAGGCCCCCCAGCAACAGCGGCGGTCGCGACGACACCGGGCGCGGTCCGCCTCCTCCGAAGGACCAGGCGCAGCGAAGCGACGAGGGGGCGAGAGCCAGCCCCCGCGGCCGTAAAACCGCTGGGCAGCCGGATCGCCGAGATGGCAGGCGCCCGGGGCAGCGGAGGGACGGCGCGTCGGCAGCAAAGCGGAGCGCCAAGCAGAATGCCGAGCGGTGCGGTCAGGGCAGCGTCTCGGTAGGCCCTCCTTCCGGCCCTTCTGGGGTAATGGTGTCCGCGGCAGCGGCAGAGATCCTACTTCTCCCGATGGCGTGGGGGCGGTCAGGGGACCAACACACCTCCCGGGTCGTGGCTCGATCGAAGGGTTGGGTTGGGTGGTCTAGCAGCCGCAGTCCCAGCTGGGAGGGAACGCTCTTGTTAGGCCCTAGCTGGAGAAGCCTCGGCGTTCTACCTCCCTCTCCTCCCTCTTCCTTTTAACTCCTCTTAACTCAGATGCAAGCACGCCAAACTCGCCAAGAAGCTCCCCAAAGGGTTCCTTCGAATCCCTGGGAGCTGGAGGTGGCGGTTGGAGGTTGGGGGAGTCTGGATGAGGGGGATTGAGGTCAGATTAGATAATCTCACCGGACCGCTCTGCAACCCAGCTGTTAGCTCTCTGCCATCTTACCGGAAAGGCTCTTTTGAATCTTCTCTACTCAGAGCCAGCCCTGGCATTTTTTTTGGATATAACTGAGTTGCAGAACTGTGGCCAAGAGATGTGCATGTTCTTGTTCTGTAACACTAGCACTGAACTGGGCTGTTCCCAGCTCTTTGTGATGTATCTCTCATCATGGGATAATCTAGAGCAGTTCTTCTCAACCTGTGGGTCCCCAGATGTTTTGGCCTTCAACTCCCAGAAATCCTAACAGCTGGTAAACTGGATGGGATTTCTGGGAGTTGTAGGCCAAAACACCTGGGGACCCACAGGTTGAGAAGCACTGTTCTAGAGGGACCATCTAACTGAAAAGAGACAGGGAAGCTAAGAGAAGGAGTCGGAGATCTTTATTTCCATGAGTATTGAAATGTGGATGGGTTGGTCAGCAGTGTCATTGAAAATAATTAACAACTGGTTCTGGAGATTTGTGTTGCCTCCTTGACAGCAATGTCTGATGCTTGCTCCAACCTATCAGCAGCATATATGGTGAAAGATGGAGCACTCCGTGTATCTGCACCCCCAGCTTTCACTCACAGTTCCAGACATATCAGTCTTTTTCTGTCTTTTACCCTTCTTCTACTCTGGCCAGTTATACCTCTTCCTCTTTGCTATTCCTGTTCCTCTTTTAAACTCCCCAGCCTTTTTATCTTTCAACAATTGAAACAATTAGTTATAGCAAACTGGTGCAAATCAAAAAAGATCCCATATGATCCCACTTACCAAGTGCATTCTCCACTGGAAAAAAAATCTTAATTTCTAATCCAATGTGTAGGATTACACTAATACAGTAGTATTGCTCTTCTTACTTATTTAGGTGGTCCCTCATTCTCCAAGTATGATGGCCTTCCAAGTGCAGTGTCTCTTGGCAGTGGGTACATAGGTGACTGTGGAGCCCTATTCTTGATCTGTATGTTCTTCCGCAGTGAGGGCTTCGGTTTCCAGGTGGAAGGCAGTCCCAGTTAGGGTTAGCTTGACATGCCTTGCTCTTTCCCCCTTTCACCTTTCATTTGTGCCTCTTCGAATTCTGCAGCACTGCTGGTCATAGCTGACCTCCAGTTAGAGCACTCAAGGGCCATGGCTTCCCAGTTCTCGTTGTCTATGCCACAGTTTTGAGGTTAACTTTTAAGCCCATCTTTAAATCTTGTTTCCTGTCCACAAACATTCCATTTTCCGTTCTTGAGTTAGGAGTATAGTAACTGCTTTGGGAGATGGTGATCGGGCATTTGGACAACATGGCCAGTCTAGTGGAGTTGATGGCATAGGAGCATCACTTCAACGCTGGTAGTCTTTGCTTCTTCCAGCACGCTGACATTTGTTCGCCTGTCTTCCCAGGAGATTTCCAGTATTTTTCGGAGACAGTACTGATGGAATCATTCCAGGAGTTGAGTGTGACGTCTGTAGACAGTCAACATTTCACAGGCATATAGCAGGGCTGGGATGACAATAGCTTTATAAACAAGCACCTTGGTATACCTACAGATGTCCTGATCCTCAAACACTCTCTGTTCCATTCAGAAAAATGCTGCACTCGCAGAGCTCAAGCAGTGTTGTATTTCAGTGCCAATGCTGACTTTTGTGGAGAGCTGGCTGCCAAGGTAGTGGAAATGGTCAACAATTTCTCATGCTCTTCAGTCACTTAGCAGTTGTTTGACAAAAGTCTCTTAACATTTAATGTGATTCTTTTAATATGGACATTATGGTTTAGGAGCTGAATTATCCTCCTTCTGACTGTACTTTTCAGTTGCTTTTCAGCCCACTAGAGTCCCACAGTGAAGCACAATAAAATATATATTTGAAACTTCCATTCAAAAGAGATTTGGGGAAAAAAAGGTAATCCAGTTCTGTGTCCTACTAGTGCATTTTGCATTAGCTGTAGCTTCTGGACACTTTTCAATTGTAGCCCCAGGTAGCAGGCATTATAATGGTTTCAACAGGTGGAATTTAGGGCATGAATTGCTGCTCTAAAACATGACATTTTAGAAATGGGCACAGTTGGTGCAAAAAGAAGGATTTGTTTTCAAAAACAATTTCAGGCTAGAAATGTAACAAACAAAAATATAACAAATCATATTGATTATTTTTGAAATGGGGGAAATATTATACTCACATCTTCTTTTTTTTAAGCAGAGAAGCCATAGGGATAGGAATTAACTGATTTTGTTTCTTCTGAGTGTGGTGTGTTGTTCCATTCGGTTGCATGGTAAAACAGTTAGATCAACTACATCAACCAACTTTCATATCCAGCCAGTATGGATAGATAGTAAACCATAAGATTATCACTTCATAAGATTTATCCGTTGACTTCAGTTCTGTTGACTTCAGTTCTATATTGACAACCATATTGACAACCTGTAGGAAATTGCAAGAGAATGAAGAGCTTTGTTCTCTGTAAATAAGGCGAAGAGATCAAGTGTTATAGATAAAAGGAAGAAGAAGAGGAAAAGCAATATATTTTATTGGAGCGATTAATGGCACAAACACTTGAAGCACCAGCCTTCAATTTATGTTTGACATTCTTCAGGCACAACGAAATGTTGTTTTCTCAGGTGAAGTCAGTTCTAATGTCTTCTTTTTCCCCTGCCACCACTTTCCTTCCCTGCCTAGTAATTCACAAAAGTGCATGATAAATTAAAAGATTAAGCACGGTGTATTTGCATACATAACCTTGCAGGTGGCTAAACTGTAATTAACACTGAGCCATCTTGACTTGGGAATTTGTGATGTTTAATTGCAAGATGGTGCCTTTCCGCTATGTTTTTTTTTTAAAAAAAGAAAAATCTGTCACAGCAGTGCTTTGCAAAAAGATGCCAGTTGGGCTTTGCAGTGCTGCCTTCAAGTTACAGACAGGCTTGCTTGGTGATGTGGATTGAAGTGGATCTTTCTTGTTCCACTTTACACAGTGCCTCACTACTTTCTGTCTGGCCAATCAGGTTGCTCTTTTCCTTTTTGGGAGGGCTTTCCACACAGCCCTATATCCCAGAATATCAAGGCAGAAAATCCCACATTATCGGAGTGTGGACTCAGATAACCCAGTTCAAAGTAGATATTGTGGGATTTTCCACCTTGATATTCTGAGATATAGGGCTGTGTGGAAGGGCCCTTGGACTTCAGCTGCAAGAGTCTTAGCCTGCTTGGCCAGAAGCTGGAGGTTCAAAGTATCTGTAAAGCCGAAGCCTGGGGACCATTGGGCTCAGCTGTTTTGAAAAAAGAAGAAAAATATTTCTTTTCATATACAAATTTATTGTTTGTAAAAAAATACTTATGTATATCCAGCATCATATTTTTGTCTTGATGTCTTTTCAGGAAAAGTAGCAATATTGAAAGAAGATTTACAGAAGTACCATAATAGAGACACGTGGTTTCAACTGCAACATGTTGATGCTGATTCAGAAGTACAGGTGAGATAGTTTCTTTCCTTACTAAATTGAGGGCTGCATAGTGTTGGTGACCACAACAATGAAAAGACCATTATTATTGTAACTAAAGAGTATTGCATTGAAAATTCAAGAAGTCACTGTCCAACAACTGTTGTACATATTGCTTCTTGACCTTTTGGCTAAGATGAAGTGTAGTATCCGTTGTACATAGACTGACACCAATAACTTGATTTTGTAAATCCATCTGTGTTGTAACAAGTGTACTTCAATCTGCTATCGATTTCATTACAAACCACTAAATTTCCTCAACTTGGAAAGAGGAAATACTGCAGATCTCAGATAACGTGATTGATTTTGCTATGTAGTTGCTGTTGCCTGCAATTGGAAATTCATTACAAGTTGAGCATCCTTTATCTGGAGTTTTGAATTGTTCTAAAATCTGAAATCTTCCTCATGGATGGCTGAGACAGTGACACCTTTGCTTTTTGATGGTTTCATGCACAATATTATTTTAAAACATTGTATAAAATTACCTTCTCACTATGTGGATAAGGAGTATATAAAACATAAATGAATTCCATAATTGATTGACACTTGTATTTTTTAATTTAATGATACTTATTTGGACACTTAAGAGTAGAGGCACATACCTAGAAGTCTCTAGTTGCTGATAGACCAATAATCCGAGGATCCTGGGAGACATAGAGGTCACTAGTGCTCTGTGCTTACCCATATTTCAAATGTAAACAATTTACCACATTGTTAAAGAAACTAACCAGGAACTGGTTTCTAATTGCATATGTATGTTTTCTCAGTTTAACAGGATACATCTTTACCTTTTGAATTCTTGTGGATTTTTATTTTGCAAATTATAACTCTGAATCATTTCATACTCATGATAAGAAAGAAGTTCTACTTTGTCAATTTATTTTCTGGGTATTAGCTTAGTGATTGTTCTGGAAATGTAAAGTCCCCTTCATTGTGACAAGGAAGGCAGAAGCTGAAGTAGATTTGACTGTAACTTGAGGAGGGAGGATGCCTCTCCCTCTGCTCCAATCTGGAAAGTTTAAAATGTGACACATAAAGCGTTTAACAGGAAAGGAATAAACAGAACAAGATGTGAATCAAAAAGGAAATCTGTTGAGGAGATATCCTACTTACATGTGGAAAGGATGCATGTTGTGAAGTAATGAGTGCAGCCTAAATTCAGGAATTGTTTCAAGCCAAGATATGAAACCACTGAATCTATTTGTTAGATCCAGGGCCTCACCAAATCTTAGGACGCTTCCTTTCCAATCCAATGACGAAGGGGCACACTGCCCATCCCCCAATATAGCTGAACTTCCAGCGACGGTGCCACCCACAAATAGAGTGGAAGCATCATACAATGCTTCCCTTTCAGCACGGGACCCTTTCCCGTGCTGTGCTGGCTCCAATGTGATGGGGGAAGCATCACCGTGAAGGAGCGATGCGCAGAGCAACAAATTCATCTCAAGATCTTTGGCGAAGCCTGGCGAAGCAAGATGTTTCACCTGGCTTTTGCGATAAGGTCATAAGTGAATCAGTGCATTGAATATTAATATTAATTCCCCAAGTTTCCACTGCTTTAATAGTTATCCTTTAGTTCGGACTAGCAAATGGATTTGGTCACAGTTTGATTCTGATCCTGGCTTATTTTCTGTTATGATAGTTTAAACAAACCACAGATCCCTGCATTCAGATATCTCTAGGACCAGTTGTTTGTTTCAGTTTTAAAGCAAATTTTCTGACCTTAGTTTTAAACAATTCGGGGTTTTTTTTCATCCTTCCACGGAGACATGAAAGTGCAAGAGAGAGGTATCTACTTAAATTCCTGGAGCATAAAGTAAGGCATTAATTCAATGATTGACCTTGAGAACATTCAGAAGGACAGGAATACCCTGAGGAGGTAGCAACTCAATTACAGTCCAATGAAGAGATTTCCTATCTCGTTTCAAAACCTGCTTGAAAGAGACTGGTGAAAAGGAGAGGAGGAGCATTAGGGAGGTTTTTATTTTCCCCTAATTACAACTAGGAAAGATGAACAAGGAGGACTGAATATCTTGATATAAACCTCAGTCTCAATTTTCTACCTCCTGATCCCACAAACAGGAATTACTGTTTCAACAATTTCTGGTTGCCTATATCGAGGGCAAGAAAAGCAGTTTCAGTATACAAGTGCAGGTCTATTTGTAAGTTTTTGATGGAAAAACGGATAAAAGTAATTATATCTGTCTCCCTTGCCCAGGCATCTCTTCATATCTGAAGATGTGGAGTAAGTACATTGCAAATATAGTGCAATCCACTTATCCATGGATTTTATCTGAAATGTTTGTCGGCCTCCCTTGGTTTTCCAGTGTGGTTCTATAGCAGGCTTGCACAAGACATGGTCTTCCAGATAGTTGGGTCTCCACCTCTAGAAGCCCTGGCCAGCTTGTCCAATGGTCAGGAATTCAGGGAGCTGGAGGGCCACGGGTTTTGCAGGCCTCTTCTATGATATGCTTCTAGACCAGTGATTCCCAACCTTTGGTCCTCCAGATGTTTTGGACTTCAGCTCCCAGAAATCCCAGCCAGCTTACCAGCTCTTGGGAATTGGGGGAGCTGAAGTCCAAAACACCTAGAGGACCAAAGGTTGGAAACCACTGGTCTAGACCAAATATAGTCAAAATACAGGGTTTACTATATCAACTGAGGTCTTGGAATGTATTCTCACAGTTATGGGGGTCATACTATATAGAATCCCAAACTTAAAAATCAGATAAATTAGAGACAGTTCTAAATCTATTTCAACTTTACATTTGTTCATACTGCTGATGAAATTTGGAGTAGAACATTTTGTTTCTGGAACTAGATTTTCACTAGATTGTGATATAAAAAGTAATAACTAATTACCGTCTAGGCTCGGAGTGTATAATGTACAGTGAATGATACTGGGTGTTGGCCTTAGCTAAAAGATGAGCAGAAGTTTAAAAACACACACAGAGAGGCACACGAACACTGCAGTAGAAGTATGTCTTCCTATGGGAAATAAGCGTTTCCTTTTATCACGTGAAGCGAGCCAATATTCATATGGCCCTTAGTGTGGTTTTTTTATATTTACTGTAATTTGAAAACACTGTTGAGAGTTGTTTGTCCAACAGTACTTTGCAGGAGCTTGCTGGTTCTTTATAATTTGAGTCCTTGTGTCATGTAGCAAGTATTTGTGAAAATGTCTAGTTAATTAGAGACATAGGGCTTAAATACTAATTTTAAGCATGGTGCTATTTCAGGACTGTTTATCGCTTCCTGTATTTTTGCTTTGTAAAAACCAGCTTCATAATACCACATTTGGAGCATAATGATAAGTCTTTAGAAGACATGGATTACATTATCTTTTTTGTGTGTGTTAGGGTTTTTCCTCTGTTTTGTAAACTGTCAAAAGAGCTTGGACTATGGGCAAAAGAGAGAAATGTAGCTTACATAAATAAAAAGGAGTGTTTACAACATGGGGATGATTTCTATGCATATAAAATGGTCCCGTATCCCACCAAAATGAAACATTGTACCTTCTAGTACTGGTGAGGGGCTGTAAAAGGAAGATCATAGTCGGTGAAATTCTACAGATGCATACAAAGAGAAAGAGATGTTCTTTGCAACCACTGCTTCAAAAAGCTGTAGACGTTTCCAGGAACTTAGAAGACTGAGTTGGCTGTATACTGTCAGTATGAATCAAGCCCCTGGCAGCCTAGTAAGAAGTTCCAGAAGTGTTTTCTCAGAAGGTCAAAGCATATGAAAAATGAAACAAGATGTTATTGCAGTGGCATCTTCTCCATAGGAGAAAGCCCCAGTGAGGACATACCTTACAAGAGAAAAGTGGGAGTGTTTGAACCTTACTCTTCCACGTGGTTCTTCCAAAATGCACCCCCCCCCCAATAAGTTTGCAGAAATGTATTTCAACACTAGTGTTGAACAAAAAAGTTGAAAGTGTGGTCTTTGGTGTGTCAGAAATGGGGTGATGCAGGCTTTCCACTAATTCTACGCACTCTGTTTTTAACCATCACTTATTCCAGTTCCACCCACAGGAGTGATCAGCTGTTGCACCCATGCTTCTTTGCTCCTTCTCTTCCTCTGGGATCTCCCTGGCAAGCAAAATCAGATTCTCTAAATCCCCAGATGCACATTAGTTCTACATTTGCAGCACTGAACTCATGGTTATAAATAGAAGAGCAGTTGGATGTGTGACACCGTGGAGTCCAGATTGATTTACTGGTGATGAGAAAGGCAGATTCTAAACAACCTTCTGAACTCTATATTCTCTCATGGGCTGATTTGAAAGAAGAGTTGTTGTCTCCAGTGAACTTCACATAGTTCTTCCCCTCCCACTGAGGATGTTTTGTGAAATGTGCAGTGGTTTCCACAAACTATCTGCACATATAGAGAGGGAGAAATAAACTTTAAATACGGGATTCAAAGCAGTGAGAGAGCAAGATGGATGAAATGGTAGCCTACTCAGGTTTTTTCTTTGGTACAATGCTGCTGGCAGAGTGTAGCCCATGGAGGTGTTTCATAGGAATCAACAGAATTCTGTCTTCCACCACTGGGCATGCAGATTCATATTGGTTTCAAGATATGCCTTTCCTCACTTACCCTGAAGGTATCTTCATACGCTTCCTCCCCAGGGTGCATATTTATCCTGGAAAAAGAAAAGTAGACCCAAAGGAGAGATCTGCAGGGGATAGTTATGTGGTGCATAATAGTCTGCCTCGGGATGAATTATCTGGCCCCATTACTACAAGTCCAGATGCAACTCCGCATGCTGCTTTGGATGCATGTGCCAGACACTTGTGCACAATTGTTTGCAGTAACCTTGCAATCCTTAGAGGGAAAACAGATTTTCAGTTATGTTTATGAAATTCACAGGATTTCCATAATCTGAACAGCCATAAGGTTATACAGTCGGCCCATTTCCACAGAAACTACAATTATCCAATATCTACCAATTCCCAAGGGTGGCAGTTAACTGA